TTTCCATTCAATAAAAAATGCAGATATACATGTAATGTACACAAAAATTTATTACATCAAAAAAATAGTACATGGAAAAAATAATATATCATTGATAATCATAATTGTTCATGTTTAAATCATGTTTTTCACTCCCCCACTGATTGGATGATACTCCACTATACGATCATGTAAGATTAGGCAATAAGCTGCAGTTTGAGCGGGAAAATTACGATCAGACTCGAATTCAAGACAAATATCAACTGGTCCGGACTTCAAGTACTCATTTTGCTTTGAACATTCAATGACAATGAGTGGAGCATAAGTGAGAAAATCTGTTTTACTCAACAATGGCTCGGCCTCTTCACCATAGTAAGAGCTTTGGAAATTCGAATACATGTCATAGAGTAATGCGTACTGATGCGACTAATGTCAAGTTTCAGGTTACCATAGGGGTAACTTTGAGAATTGAGGAAGAGCTTTATGTTGCGGATATTACAATGATCGAAACGACTTTTTATTGGTTGGATTTTTGCGGCTCATTTGGAATCCTACGATGATATAACGAGGTTTCTCCAGTTGAGTTGACTATTTCACCACCCAGACGTGTTTAGAGGTCGCTGACAGAAGTGGATACTCGTACGTCTCCCCGGTTCGAATACTGATGGGAATTGGTGCGTCCTTGGAGATGTAGTTCAGCAGATTGATTTTCTTGGAATCAGCTACTCTGATGTAGGGAACCATCCACTTTACTTTATCGAGTGAGAGTCTGAATGCTTCAGCAGCAGCTCCTCCTGCCGGTGCTTGGATGACTGCATTCATATCGGTGTTTCCTCGTATCTGGATTAGTTCATGTTTTGCATTTACAATGATCCTTTCATAATCCTCAGAAAAACCCAACAACATACTCGAAGGTATGGAGATGTCAAAATAGCCATTCGCATCGATAATTGCTGATTCATCGCCCTTGACTACCCAATCAGCATTCTCCAGAAGAGCAGCTTGACCGGGAGTTTGCGACACGCAATTCTTCATCACTGTCGTGATGCCAACATTTTTATTTCTATCAATCACAATGGCGTTCAATTCATAGCGGATCTCCTCAAATAAATGGAGGATAGCACAATTCACTAATCTCGTGTAGGCTACAGCTCCTCCATCCGCTTTCGTCAAGCGTCCATGTACATGCAGTGAACTCTTACTCGGCACCAGACACAAATCTTGATGCTGGACGGTGATGCGAATTTCATCGTTGTTGTTGAACGTTGCCGATGCAAAAGGCTGATGTGCATGAATCTCGCAATGGGCGATAGATTCGTCAAAGACAATGGGCTTTTGAATTTTCAGGATCTCCTCCATGGCTTACGATTGTAGATGACAATGCAATAACAGAGGATTTTTCTTTTCACTCTCTTTTTCTTCTCCTTTTTTTCAGAATTTTGAGACCCAACCTCTCGAGGAATTTTAGGTTCTGGGGTGTTAACGCCTTGAAAGGTCGTCGATGACTGCTTCGAATGGGCAATGGTGATTCACTTTTATAACGACCTCCGGATTTTGTATTGAAAACGATGCCCACATTAGGCTTTGATATGCAATCTTATTGTTATAACCTCTTGTCTGAAATTCACCTATTGACCTTCTTGATCGACAATTCTCAATTGGAGATGATCTATTGCCTGCACGGCGATCGGGAGGTAAATGATGTTTGATGGTACCTCAATGATCTTATATCCTGGTGGAACAGTCGGGAAGAACTCATGGACATTATGTCCTTGCTGTTCATTGATGTACGCTCCAGTGGTGATGTTGCACTCGACTCGCAGAGAATTCACCTTGAGAATTGTCACTGGTGAGTTAGATTCATGACTGATATGGGGCGGGAGAATACCGTATGTGAAGTCCAATAACCGCCCAATCGAATCTTTTGGATCAAAATTTATCGGGTGACTGCACTTGATTATACTCTTCAGAGTGTTATTGTTGGGCTTAAGGCTGATATTTATGTTATATTCAGCGACCTTCTCAAACAAGAAATTCTCAATATCTTCAATTTCGTAGCTCCCTGTAGAATTCAAGTTTAATAGTTCAGTCAATCCCATAGTATAATTCTTCAATGGTGATAATTCAAATGGAGGAAAGTAATGAGCCTCCAAAATCGAAGAGGTGCCTGATAATGTCAATGTAAAAGAGTCACTCATCGCAGCTGATATCTAACTGATGCTTATAGAGTAACGTATTGAAGTTTTATATCATTTCGCCATTGAGAAATTTCGGACATAAATGGCCACACACCACCGTATCATAACCTTGATGGCGTTCATGATTGTACTTAACAATGCTACCAACACCGAAGTAATTCATCAGATCTTGAGGTGGACGAAGATTACCAAAACTATCAAAATAGATAACCTCCTTCATTCCTCCTTCATTCCTCCGTTTTTTGTATATGACCCAATGCGTTCCAGGCCCGTCCTTATCATCAAGATTGACAATAGCCGATTCATATTTGCGTGGACCTGACTTGGGCATTTCGTTCCCCATGTATACGCCACGAAAATGTGGGATTCTCATAACCTTGGCGTATTTCATCAAGTCGACATCGGTGATAGCTCGATGTGGTAGCTTTAGGCGTTTTCGGCTCCATCGGCTTGGTTTTATCCCCATGCCTAGGGAGGTTTTTGCGTTCTTGGTGTCAGCTATATCCCAAGCGGCAGCTTTCTCACCAAGACCTGCGTCTTTCGATAAGACTCGTTTCCAGGCCTTTTTCGTGAGAATTTTATCTGCTTCGTGTTGTGCAGTGAGGTTATCTCTATTTCTCGAGTAGGCTATGTCGTGTTCTTTGCAGGCGGCGTCAAGTGGATTAATGTCAGGGTCACCCCGTTTCAATCGTTTCTGTAGTTTTGTACCGGGGCCACAATACTGGTAGCCCGGTATATGTAATTCCACAGGGAGCTTATTGATGACTGTTCACTAACCCTTCACCTTGACGTCCTTTCTTACATTTACACACTTTCATGGCTATACAAGAACTGACTAGTGATGAGATCAACACCGTGTATTTATAGGTCAGCGACTGAACGGGTGGTAGATACTGAGCAAGCGTGATGATGCTCGAGCATTTACGGCCATCAAATCGGAAATCTATAAATAACAGATATTCATCATCCTGCAGTCAGTCATCAACCATGCGCTTCAAAGAGCAGAACACTAAACTACCAACCTTTGATGAGTTGACGCGAAAAACGAAGACTAGGGAGAGATGTCATGGGTCTCTATTACCAAATAGTGTGCGTGCAGTCATCTGTGGACCCTCAAATTGTGGAAAAACAAAGGCTCTATTGGCACTCATAGTCCACCCCAATGGTTTGAGATTTGAGAATATCTGCGTGTTGTCAAAATCTCTCAATCAACCCAAGTACCAGTTACTCAAACGTCTGCTCTTCCCTGTTAAGGGTATATGATATTTCTCCTTCAGCGAGCATGAGGAAGTCATCAAGCCAGAGGATGCCCGACAGAATTCCATCATGATTTTCGATGGTGTGGCCTGCGAGAAACAGGATAATGTGCGAGCATTCTTCTGTGTGGGATGACATAGAGATGTCGACAGTTTCTATCTCTGTCAAACATACGCTCACGTGCCCAAACATCTCGTGCGGGACAACGCCAATCTCCTAATACTCTTCTGCTAAGACGACATGAATCTGAAGCACATTTATGAGGATCATGTGAATACTAATATGCCATTTGCTGAGTTCAAGGACTTATGTGCCAAGTGTTGGAATGAGGGCAAATACAGTTTCATGGTGATTGATAAAACAGTGAAATTGATGAGGGCAGATGTCGAAAAGGATTCAATAGTTTCCGGAAGAGATGAATACGCTCCATTCACAGAGACTGAGAGTAGTTGTTGGCCGAACGCACAACTGTCAATATGGAGAGCGAAAATTTCAAGAAGGAGACGCATATTTTGCGGAATATTGCTCAGGCGAGTAATGTCATTCGCCGCAACCATAAAATGATAAAATTGGGTAGGGAGACCACTGAGAAACCTATGAGTGAAGTGCTCAAACCAGTGATAACTCCTCTTGAAAAATTGGTAGATCAGAGAAGAAAATATTCGCTACTCCGACACGGATGAAGGAGGAGAAGGATGAAGATTGTGATGATTCTTCTGAATATCAAACTCTCGTAGATCTCCCATTCAACATAGAAGAAGCACATTCAAGCACTCCAATGAAGAAAATATCACTAATAAAAGTCACGACGACAACTGATCGTATTTCATCAACTAAGCTGGAATCTCCTATAGCCTCACAGAAGCTTCTTCAAACGTATTTGGATCGTTATAATACAGAGCGTGAAGATAGCGATTTGGATAAGGACTTTGGTGTTCGTTACCTGAAAAGCGGTATGAAGATTGGTGATTTATTGGTCACGTTCCATGGAGATTCAATGACCCTCAAGGGTGAGGAATATATATTGACTCCAGGTTTAATCGAACTGATTTTTAAGAAATCACTCAACATGAGTCTCATAACCGAAACCGATAAACATACCTACGGTGATCTCATACGGAGTACGAATGCCCATCGAATGTACTACACACCAAATGGAGCTCTTCGAAGAAGTAACGTGATGAAATATCGTATCATTATTGAAGAGCTCATCAAATCTAAGAAAACTGGAACGGCTTTCCCTCATCATATGATTGCTTCAGCGAAACCTAGGAAAATTGACTATGTGTACTGGAACGATCCTAATGAACTGGTGGATAGACTTCGACTGCTTATGGCATCACAGTCAGCCAGAAATATGAGTCATACCAATGAAATTATGTAAATAATCGAGGAATTTCGTGAAGCTGATATAATTTATTGAGCTGTAGTCGCAATAATCCCATCATTTGAAACATGAGTGTCGACGTGTTCGGACGCCAGTTGGGCACTGGTACTGTGAGAACTATCAGTAACCAAGGTCCTCCAGGTAAATGATTCAAGGTCACGCCTGATGGACACTACGATATGGATCATCAGAGAATATGTAATTTGGCGAATCCTGAAGAAGAGAATGACGCTACATCTTTGAAGATATTGCGCAGTATGTTGAAGGAGGAGCTTCGTCTCATATATAATGTGACTGGATCCATGGGTGGTAGACTTGATGGGATTGAAATGATGATTGAATCATTTCGAGCGAATTTCCTGGAGACTATGAGACGAAGAGGTGTTAGTGAGGAGAAATTACAAGAACGTTTGAGCAGTCATTTTGAGACCATTCAACGTCTAAACGAGGAGCTGACAACACTAAAAGTTCTAGTCATACATGAGACGAAGTTGATGATAGATGGTTTATATTCACTGATAAACGAGCAATTGGAGGGAATAAGAAAAAAAGAAGCGACTAACCAGAATTTGACACTACGCAATTCTGAAATAATTGGTGATCTGGATAGATGTCTAATTGCACTGGAGAATGGACGATAAAAAGGCGACAGTAATGGAGGAGCTCCATAGACCTGCTCGCAGGAATTATGCTCGTCGACGTGTTGAAGTCGGCGGGGTGGATGAGACATGGCCGGCAGATCTTGTGGAAATGAGTGCCTATGCTCGTGAGAATGCAGGTTACAAATACCTCCTAACAGTTACGCGATATCTTCTCGAAATATGCCTGGGCTGTGCCGACCAAGACGAAGAATGGAAAGGATGTGAGCAGTGCTATAGCCTCCATACTTGAATACGGTCGTGTACCACAGAAGCTGCATGTGGACAGAGGCAAAGAGTTTTACAACAGCGAATTCAAAAAGCTCATGCAAGACTATGGCATTACCATGTACTCAACCTTTAGTAATCTCAAAGCATCAATCTGTGAGCGATTCAATCGCACATTAAAAGAGAAGATGTGGAAACAGTTCAGCTTACATGGAACATATGAGTGGATTCCTATAGTGAAGAGTCTCCTTCTGTCCTATAATGACACCAAACATGGCACCATCTGGATGAAACCTAAAGATGTCACTGCTGCTCATGAGAAGTACTTGTTACATCATGTCTATGGAAAACTCAAAACTCCTCGCACGAAGAAAATCAAGTTCAAGGTTGGAGATAAGGTGCGCGTCAGCAAGTACAAGAACATATTCGGGAAAGGATATATACCCAACCGGACGACGGAGATAGTCACGATAAGTGAAGTTTTAAACAGCAATCCTGTGATCTACAAGCTCATCGACTATAAAGACCAACCAATTGAGGGTGGATTCTACCAGGAGGAGTTAACGAAGATCACATATCCTGACGTTTACCTCGTGGAGAAAATACTCCGAAGACGAGGAAACAAAGTCTTTATCAAGTGGTTGGGTTTTGATAATTCACATAATAGCTGGATAGATAAGGATGCATTGTAATAAATAAATGGATAATAAAAAACTCATTTTTCGAAATTTTTTTCTTTTATTTACAATACCCATATGGCACAGTATCATGAGAGTTTAAGCAGAGTATTCTCTTGGCATCTTCCCAGCTTAGAGCTAATTTCTTCTGGTGTACAGTATGCACATCGTGCTTACTACTTTTGATTCAATACTGGGACTCGATAAAATGTTCATGATTCTCCAGACAATCTTCGTCATCATCGGACGTGATCCTTTTCAGTGTCGACCCTCTCACTCCTTTCGCACGTTTCTTCGCTCTCTCATCACCATGAATTTTAAACGTGTACAATTTTGCTCTCAAACCAACAAACTCACTCATCACTTTTCCATTGCACTCATCCTTTGTAAGTCCTAATACTTTCTTATTCATGAGCGGCATTCTATAAACATTATCGCTTGGATAATCGAATGTATCAAATCGAGCAATATCACGTTTTATACATTCATAAATATCAGGTACTTTGAACTCATACAAAAGACTGTCTGTATCCGTATACATGAGCTTAGCACTATCACCAAATTCTCGTTTAATATAATCGTAATGGAAATCATAGATGAATATTTTGGATAGATTCAGAATTGAGAAACCAACGTAAATGGGTTTGTTGAAGTACATTTTTGTACGCTCCTATTGAACAATGACTAAATCATCAGCGAAAATGGTGCAACTGTGGAAGTTGGGCTGACCGATGCGACCTTTGGCACCATATCTCCTCTCCCATTTCGTCACCAACTTCACGTCTTTTTGGTTCCTGACATTCTCAATGGTTTTTCCGAAAACTGAATTGTTCATCAACTTGAAGAAATTCTTCTCAAACTCATTGCTCGATTGCTGTCTCAATTCTGTATTGAGCTCAATGTACGCTTTCAGCCATGGCGCCTGATTGAATTCCAGTACTCGGTGAATTTTCGGCAATTTTAGTCCCAAATCCAGACATTGCTTGCGATTCTTATAAAGAATCACATAGTTTTTCTTAGGAAGCAATGTCGTCATTAATTTCGAGATTTTCTTATTAGGGAAAACGAAATGTTCCGGGCAAAGTGGTAAATCCTTGTGGGTCTCAAAGAGTTCCTTGGAATACTCCAAGTCGACCTCAAGCATGTAGCCTTTGTTCTCAAGCATGTAGCCTTTGCTCGAATCATCTGCAATTGTATGGATATCAACGATTGATGGATTAATCCACTGGAATGAGCCATAAGGCAAGTACTGGGACATGGCTGCTCCGTACAAGTTGTTCACATCAAAGTACATCAGATAAGAAGTTTCTTTGTTGGGGTCGAATTTTTCACCATTATACTTATTGTTGGCACAAGCGTACCGATTAGAGCATTGAGCCACCCCTCCTCGGATCCCCTTCTCAATAAATAAGTGCATCTCAATGTCTGTGAGAAGCTCAAGGTTGACACCAGTGCATTTCAGCATAGCATCAAATGCTAATCCTGGTGCCGTGTAGTAATGAAGGGGATCCAGTTTGTACATCGAAGAACAAGTACGTCTGAAATTTTGAAAGATGTCCGCCAAAAGCACGACATCTGTTGCCAGGTAGAGGTCGGAGTATTCACCCAAAGATGTGATGCTAAAAACATCCCAAACTCTCTGCGCATGCGCATAATCCTCAGCAGACACTCTCATCATTCAATTTTGAATAGAATTTCTCGATGGGAGGCAATTGAAGGTCATTGAGTTTCTCCCAAGAGTCCACGTACTCGTATGGGAAAACTCATTTCCTAGTCAAAAGCTGAAATTTCTCCACATCGTCATTGCAGTCTTTTTGAGTAATGGATTTGTCAGAATCATTGAAGTAAGATGCCAATTTCTCCAAACTACTCGCCATGAACCGGAACGAGTCAATAAACCGAAATCGAACCTCAGTCTCATCAACGTGTTTCGTGAAGGAGATGTACTTTTCCTTATTGAGAGGAAGCAGATCTACTGAACCTGGGAATTGTGTTGCAAGAGTCTTGATGAGAAAATGTGAGTCGTAGCCGGAGAGGTTATGAAAAACTACTGGGATCGTGTGAGAGTTCTTGTAGTTGACATTACATCCCGGGTGTGCTGGAACGCGATACTTGCCCGTGAAGTGGCAGTGATCGCGGTGTTTCTTATCAGTTGGACTGAAGGGTTTCTCGCAAATGTGACAAACTTGAGCATTAGCAAAGTCCCAAGCTTGCTAAGGTGTGAGGCTCCATCGGTACGTTTGTCATCAAACAGGTATCGACCTCATGAGCTATTCTTAGCAATTCATCTATGAACCATTCGATACAATCGGGCCCACGATTCATCTTGAATTGTAATCGAGTGTCATCAAAACCACAATGCAAGTAAAACGCTACACTATGAGGGATGTGCTTCTGATACACAGATTCAGATTTAGTTGGTTCCAAAATGCACTCCAAATCTTCATTGATAACAAATGGAATCATTTCCATAAATCGATAATTCTTAAAACTCAGAATATATTTATCCTCTTCTGGTAGCACCATTCTGTACTTGTTAATCTCAATACAGTCTTTTTCATGGTTCTTGAATGATGATTTTGTGACAAAATGGCCTAAACAGTGATCACAAAACTCTATATGATGATTATGACTGGATAATTGTGGACTTACTAATCGAGACAAATTCTTAATCCAAGCGAAATGATATATGGGTTGCGTATCGTGTTCTATTTGTGCATTATCCCAAAGCAACAAGAGATGAATCGTGGGCCAGATAGACTTGGTTTTACTTAAATATAGATGTACAATGTCTTTATCATCATCTATAATGTAAACATTGATCGATAGTCCATTCATTCGCTCGAATTTTGGAATGTTCTTCAACTGCATCGGGAACTCCAGGCCGGTGTAGTTGAGATGTGTCACTCCATCCGGTAGAATAGCCTCAGAGTAATGAGGATATGAGCTCAGACGATCGGAATGCATTGTAGCTGGGTGTAACGCTGCTGTCACCGCCCACAGAAAACAATGCTCATCATTGTTCTTGATTTTCACTACTGCTTCACTACTGCTTTCTTGGACTGCACGTGTTGAAGTAGTGAGATGAATGTATTCGCGCCCGGTGCAAGTGGCACATACTTGTAGATGTTGACAGTGAGGTTCATAACCTCAATCAGTTCGCACCCTGAGTCTTTCTCCTGGAAATCCTCAATTTTAGCGAGCAGTCGTTCTGTGAGATTCTGATCGAACCATTCCTCGATATTGGGAGTAGGTAAAAGAATCTGATTTTTGGCGTTGAAATATTTTGTCTCATCAATCACTTCACCATTCTTCTTCCCTTGAAACTTGCAGGCGAGGACTCCATTGGCCTTGATATTTCCTTGTTGTTGTAGAGCCTCCTGCAAACAAACGACTGCCAGACATTTGGCATCTTTCAGGAAAGACTGAGGATCATTATGACTCAGATTGACGATCACTCCTGTTCTGATTCGGTTGTTGAAGGCAGATTCTAGATCCTTCTAGAGTACTTCATCTTTTGGTTTCGATGGGACACCGATTACTCCACCATGCTGTGGCTTCTTCTTCTCTTTGAATCGTTCGCAATATGTGTGGAGCCATGAAACTGTTGTCTGTATCCTTAATTTTTCTCGAACGGAAAGATTTTCAATTTTCTTCAAAGCTTTCTCGTAAAGTCGGATATAATGTTGACACTTTTCAATTCAACGATCAATATCTTGAGAAGATGCACTCTTATATGCCAACTGCAGCCTCTCCATCACTTTCAAGCACGACTTGGGATCCATTTTGATGTGATCGCTTATAAACACACAGGAAAAATCCTTGTTTGCTAGCTGGCAACTTGCGAACTGACCTAAGTCGCGCGAACCGCGTGCCTTTTATAGGGAAGGCCTAAGATAATTTCGTTCGGTACCATTTTCAAAATAATTGCATACAACGAATTCTATTGATGGAGAGAAATTCAGATAAAGGTTGAGATACAGTTCTAGATAATTCTTCTGGATGATTTCTCTAAATAATTATATACAACGAATGCTACTGGTCGAGAGCGATTCATTGAGAATTTCAGATAAATTCCAAGATAATGCTTCTAGAGAATTTCCCTAGAAAATTCCCTAGATAATCCTATACAGCGAATCCTATTGGTCAAGAGCGGTTCACATAAAGTTTCAGATAATTTTCAGATAATACTTCTAGATAATTCTCCTAAACAATCCTTAGATAATGCTACACAACAAATCTTATTGGTAGAGAGCGATTCATTGAGAATTGCAAATAAAGTAGCAGATAATACTTCCAGAATATTTCCCTAGAAAATGGCCTAGATAATTCTATACAATGAATCCTATTAATGGCGTGAGATTCAGATAAAGTTCCCGATAATTTTCAGATAATACTTCTAGATAATTCCCCTAAAAATCCCTTGATGATCCTATAGAACAAATCTTATTGGTGGAGAGCGATTAATTGAGAATTGCAAATAAAGTTCCAGATAATACTTCCAGATAATTTCCCTAGAAAATTCTCTAGGTTAGGTACTTCTATACAACGAATTCTATTGGTGGAGAGAAATTCAGATAAAGATCTACATATATCTTCTAGATGATTTCCCTAGATAATTGTATACAACAAAGCCTATTGGTGGAGAGAGATTCAGATAAAGTTTGAGATACAATTCTAGATACTTCTTCTAGATGATTTCCCTAGATAATTCTATACAACGAATGCTATTGGTCGAGAGCGATTCATTGAGAATTTCAGATAAATTCCAAGATATAGGCTTCTAGAGAATTTCCCTACAAAATTCCCTAGATAATCCTATACAGCGAATCCTATTGGTCACGAGTGGTTCAGATAATACTGAAGTCTTTCTAATCTTAGAAACCTTTCGGAAAGAATTTCTCAAAATATGTGCGCATTTTCTATAGGAACGGATAATTGTTCACTTAGTCGAGATGTACGACTCAATTCTACAGGAACGAACATGTTTCAGTAGATTGACAACAAGTCCGAGA